TGTTGCATTGCTTAGGTTGGTCCTTCGTAATGGCGAGTGTGACATAAATTGGGGTAATGTATCAAACGGTTAGGCCTAGAAGTGTGGTTTAACTTGCTCGAGGACGAGCAAAGGTTTAAGTGTGGGGTGTTGATAATAGGTGAATTTAACTATAATCACATCTTAAACAACCACCTTCTTGTATAGTTTTGATGATAAAAGTGATAAAAAAATGCTCTTATTAGTGCTTTTCATGATTTGCAGGTGATATATGACCAGGGAAGGCTAGGGAGTACTTTTGGAGTCAAAAATGAAGAAAAAAGAGGCCAACTGTGAAATTCCCCAAGTAAACCACGCAAAACAGGCCTGAAGATTCAGAGAACTGTGTTGACCGCGGTTCCACCGCGACCGCGGTAGAACCGCGGTGGAAGAGAGCTGCAGATAAAATGAGATTCAGAGAAAGCATTTGGCCGCGGTTTGACCGCGACCGCGGCAGAACCGCGGCGGAAGCAGAAAACTTCAGGGACTAAAGTGTAAAACACGGGATTTTTAGACCTAAACCCTATTTTAAATACGAGACTTCGCCCAAGAGAGGCATGTATTGAATTTTAGAGTATCTTGGCAAGAAAAACTATTGTGAGAGAATACCCAAAAACATAGTTCTTCTTTTCTTTGATTTTTATTGCTAGTTATGATGAATTCTATCTTAGTTTGTTTTCCCATAGCCATGAGTAGCTAAATCCTTTGTCGAAGGCTTTGATGGAACCTATTGGGGGATGAACATCTTGTTTATGTGAATACAAATTGCTAGTTTCAATCTCTATTTGTTCAACTTTGTGCTTGTTGTAGTTAATTGACAGGATCCTCAATTAGCTGTGCCTATTTAGTGTGCATAACTTGGAAAAGAGTGCATATTTAGGTTATTGTTGAACAACACCACTCCCAAAGTATAAGAGGAATATATAATCGCGGGTTTAAAGGCGGGATTAGGGATAACGAAGCCTTGGGTGTAATTTAAAGTGAATTGTGCTAAATAAAGTAAGCTAGTGTATCTCGAGAGAGTGCAATTAGTATATTACTGTGATTACTCGGGAGAGATTTACAGTAAGATGAGCGTTCATGATTGATAGAGATGTGTTGGTAAATTTGTATGAGCATAAACAGAAGGGATTCCTTCAATAGGGGAAATCATTGCCTTAGCTTCTTCTCATCATTGTTTACAACCTTAGCATTTTAATTTACAGCTGTTTAATTTATTTGCAATCGTAGTTAGTAAAGCGACCTTCAACTGTAATTCAAACATCTGGGAAACTGGTTCTGAAGAGTTTAGTGGGTCTAAAGATAGTGATTGATAGGTTAACTCTCTGTGGATTCGACCCTGGGCGTAATACTCGGGTTATATTTGCAACGTCCGCAGAGTCCTTTTTAGAGGGCATAGTTGAGCGTGATCACGTAATAAGCTAATTCGACTGAGCTGTACATAGCCAGTTGAGAGTCCATAATCTGAATGGCACATACTTCTGTTGCATGCTATCTGTGCTTAGGATCGTATACAAGGTGTACATGCAAACATTATGAGCTGCGGTAAAGGTAGAAATTATGTGACAGGATTCTAACTTGTAACGTGCATCTTATCAAGACATCATGCGCTGCTATTTTACCACTAAATTAACATCCTGGCCTAGACAGTAGTTGACTACTGTCTTATACATTTGAGTCTCTCTTTTGTTAATCTATAGAGGATTCCTTCCTTTCTGAAATTTACTTCAAAATAACTTCTGTTTTATTTCTTTAACTATTAAACCGCCTAAAACTGCACCTGTTTAGAGTTGTTCTTTCAAAAAGTGAAATCCTTAGCCAAAGGGTACTCACTGGGTTTTTGTTAATTCTCTAACGCATTTATCTACGGAGTAAACAGATAATTTAGTGCATTGTCAATATACGGATAAATTAGCGACTGAATAACGTCATCAGACGTATCTTCAATAATATTAACTGAGAGTAATTTGCGACTGATATTCTGCTGACCATTAGACGGGATCCAATCAAAGATTTGACAAATAGTGTTCACCCCACATCACTTCTCACAACAAAATAGTACTACTCATCAGCAGAAGCACATAATTAAACGAAATGGGAGTACTTATCGTCAGAAACATAATATAAAATGCAAGCTAAAACTCCAGTTAAGTGGAATTGTGGAATTAGGATTTAGGAAGCAAGCATTGGAAACTAACTCTGTACTTTGTATAGCAAAAAGCATCCTCATGTTCACTATTTACAGATTTTCCGATATGCTCCAACCTCGGCGGCGGATTGAAACTATAAGGAGACCATCAAAAAGAAAATTACAACAAAAACCACAAGGGCAGGACCAAAGGAGAAACCAACAAACTAATTTCCTATGATGTATTTCCCCTTTTACCATATCTTACATGCCGCACCTCGAAAACTTCCTGGTCAACAGTGGACTTAATTTTGCTATACATGTTAAAAGGAGTGGAGTTTCTACTCATCATTCGATCTTTCTGAACTTTCGCTGGTGCTGTGCTTCTTCTGTATCTACCCACTGCAGAAGTGCATAATCATTTGGCATGAAAACAGAAAAATGTGTAATTCACAAATACTGGAACAAGCGTGTTTGCAGAAGGAAGCAAGCAAAAGCAACCACTACATCAATGAGAAAGTAGGACATTTTCCACAAGATAACAGAAATTTTACACCAGTTGATACGGCGTAACAGCCATGTGCCAGCAATTATGATCAACACATCTAAAGATGGTATAAACTTACTGTGATTTGCGCTCCTGATGTTTGTGCACTGCGACTAGATTCTAACCGAGACCTTTTAGCAGATAATCGTCGTATGAACTCACTTGAATGGTTATATATACTGCAAACGTAATATTTCAGCTCAATCAGCCAACATAAAATGAAAAAAAAAAAAAAAACAAGAGGTTGCATCTGAGGAATAATTCGACTTAAGTTGCAACAGTAAAAAATTATTAGTATTTCAGAGGTGCAATAGTTCAGAGATTGTCATCACGTGACATGCACAAGGAACAGGAAAGATTTCCTTCAGTTTTTGCTTTATTCTGTTACACCAAGTCTTTCTCGTAGAGCCTATAATATAGAAAGCAACTGGCAGTCTGGATACGTAAAGGGAGGCTATGCACCACATAATATGCTGATTAACACTTAACTCCATTCCATGCAAGTCTAGCTATATTTCTCTAGGTTAAGTAACATACCATCCATTTTGTTGCATAAGAATATGTGGAAGCACGCGATGAGAGTTAGGACGAAAAGTAACTACTAGAAGTTGACATTCTCAAAGAGAAGATGTGCAAAATAGAGAACCATACCTTAACCTGTGTCTATTGCAAGCTGTGAAGAAGGCAACAAAACCATAGAGAATACTCCGAAGAGCTCGGAAAACCTGTAAGTCATAACCAGAAGAAAATTATTAAGACAAGAACTCTTTATAGAATTCATATTAGGATTAAATGGAAACAAGCGATAAACCTGAGAGAAAAGGTCATTCCAAAGAGAACGCCATATTGAAACCCCACCGGAGGTCACTGTTGACTCCACTTGAGAAGTAACTCGAACTATGCTACTTACGAACAGCCATGAATCCTGAATCACTTCATATATAGAAGTACACAAAAATCCCAGAAGACTAGAAAAACCAAAGACCAGGCGAATTGGAGCGTAGATAATCTCCCACAGAATCCAAAAGATGGGGTAAAATAAAGATGTCACTGCGGTTGAACAAAACTTTGATGAGAGAAGAACTCTAAAGGAGCAACAATCTTAAATTCATAAACCACTTTAAGCAAAACAAATGGGATTATATCAGTAGTTGCACATGTACTTACCAAGAATCCAAACAAACGAGATGACATACCACAGAGGTAGTAATAAAATCTCAATAATTTTTCCCACCAGAGAGTAAGAAGACCAGACTGTAAACCATATTACGGAAAAGAAATCCACCATAATTTGTGTACACACATTCCAGAAAGGAAGGAAGAATTCCACGAACACAACAAGTGGACCAGCCATTGGCTGTGCGAGAATGGAGAAAAATGACCGAATAGTACGCGTTGTCATGAGGAACCACTTAAAGGCCTTTTGAAAATTGTGCAGAAATAGCATGGTCCCCAAGTACTGAATTCTTGATACCATTTCCCATGTTTCAATCCAATCAAAAAGGGGCCCAAACAAACTAGATGCTGTCGCTTTGAGTACGGGTACATTCTTGTATAGATCATAGAATCCAATCAGAACAGTAACTATAGAGATTACGACATATAAAAATCTTGCTAGAGGACACATCCATGGACGGTAAATATGGCAAAATACTGGATAAGACTGGAGAAATATGACCCACGAAGGAAGCCCAGCTTCCAGTAGAGTAAGCAACCGTAAATCCAAAAGAATAATGTCTCTAAGTTTGAAAGGGAGATCACGATCATTAAACCGAAACAAAAGCAAAACATCCTTGTACTGGGTGGCTTCAACAACTTCAGAAGTACTGTTGTCAGAGGTCTCGCCATGTAGCTGTGATTCAATAGTTTCAGAGAAGGGCTCCTCGGAGAGCAAATCAACATTTAATCGTTTACTGAGAGACTTCAAAAGTTTTCTTCTATTATGAGGTCCATCAGGTGGAGATGGGGTTTGCAGAGAATTTTCGCTAATTTCTGCTGCAGGGTATGTACTGAAACTTCTAACTGAACAGCAAGGAGATTCATCCTCATCACTTGAATTGCAAGTAGAAGCATCACTGTCAGCCACATCAGTTGTCCATTGAAAATTGTCATGGGCATCATAGAATACATCTCCTGTAAAAATCTCCAGCAAAGTTACAAGTAAAGAATTTGCAAGCTTGGAACAGGAGTTCAACAAATACTTAGGTACGGCTTCCAGCCATGATTCAAAAATGGCAGAATACATAGACAGACACTTAAACTATCAAAGAAAGTTCACTTTAACACCTCAAGTAAGCCATTTTCCACCGAAACACTTTTACTATACTTTGACTGCACCAGTTTAACACGTCCGACCAGAGCTTATAATTTTTTTTGACACGTGTGTTCACTCGCTTCCAGCATGAATAATCTAACCAATTAAAAACTGACACGTTTTTCAGAGCTGGGGAAGGGAGAATTTTATGTCAATGTTTTTTGGGGTTCAAAATTCCTTTAGATCTGGGTGTTTACAGTGAAGCTTGGTAAAGCTCACATGGTGTAAATTGACCGGATATCACATTTTCTTGAAATTCAAGAACAAAATTGTCCATAGAAATTTCGATAACCACAAACTATCTCTGGGTCAAAATCAACCAACCCACATCTATGAAATTCAAGAACAAATCAAGTGTGAATGACCACAAATATTTCAGGTTCTTCTTTACCAAAATTTGGGGGGCCCGTGTATATTCAAGAACAAGAACAAATATTACAGGTTCTTCTTTCGCTGGTATATTCAAGAACAAATCAAGTTATATGAAATTCCAATAACCACAAACAAATCAAGTGATATTGTCAGCAATAATATGAAATTTTTAATTTTTCTTAAAGCTTCGAATTTTTACCGGGTAACAAGAATTTCAAATTGATATTACCCAAATTTATCATCGAACAGAGCAACATAAATGGAGGGCCAACAATTTTCTCTTTTTATGTACCAGCGAAATTCCTACAATATTTGGAAGGTTTTCCTCTTATTTTTCTCCATGACAATGGAGGAGGAAGCGAAATAGTGGAGGAGGAGAGAGAGGGTGATGATGAACTTCTGGGGAGAAAAATATAAAAAGAAAAGGAAAATATTAAATCAGATAAAAAGAAAAGGAAAATATTAAATCAGATTCAATCACGCGCCTAAGAGTCGTGAACTACAATCTTTTTGCCATGTCAGTGTTTTGTGTTAAACTGGTGCAGTCAAAGTATAGTAAAAGTGTTTCGGTGGAAAATGGCTTAGTTGAGGTGTTCAAGTGAACTTTCTTTGATAGTTTAAGTGTCTGTCTATGTATTCTGCCATTCAAAAATAGATACTTGAAGAAATCAACTTATAACAGGAATTTGGAAGCTTGGGACAGTTACTGAACTAACTGAATACATATCAAGGAATCAACGTTAAACAGATTAGATGGGGGGATTTTTAAATACTACCACCTTTTTTTTAAGGAAGGATTGGAATAGACGATGAAAGAATGGGAAAGAGGAAGACATAATTACTCCATGAGAATTTACCATTCTAGTAGGAAGGTCCATGTAAAAGTTTTATTCTTCAAAAAGACAATGGTATTTGTCACTCACAATCACAAGAAAATCAGTTATTTTCCATTTTCTATCTCCAACACATCCACAAGATTAGTGTCACAGAGATGCAGATGCTAAAGTGGAAGTACGGTCATACAAAAAATAAGACAAGATAAACAAAGACCACATTTGCCAGAAGGTTCAAGCAGTACACATTCAGGATTAAATGAGAGGACACTTGAGAAGGTTTAGTCATGTCCTGCATTGACCTCCACATGCACCAGTCCATAGGTGTGAAAATGGTGAAAGAAGGTGTTGAAAAGAGCGAGGTAGACCTAAAGTCACATGGTAAAGTAATATGGTTATGTCCTATGCTTTCTAGGAGTCTTTTAGCCTTATTAGAGACTCTTATGTCTAAAAGATGAGAACTTCTAGTACTTTTTATTTTTATTTTTATTTTGTATAATGTTGGTCTGAGATGAATTTAAACGGGGAACATGTTCAGTAATGATTCATACAATTGACCCCAACTTGTTTGGAATTGACGAATAATTGTTGTCGTATCTAACTCTGTCTTATTTCTCGGACCAATGGTCCATGAGCAATGGTCCATTTTTTCTACAGGCGCACTGCGCACTTCAGGAAAGAAACAAATTAATCTAAGCATGCACAAACCACAGTAAAGAAAAATGGGGCAGAGCTGAAGTTATTAGCGGCCCTAGATAGGACCAGGTAGCTTTTAAATCCAATAAGAAAATTAAGATGCATAGCAATCAACAACACATGGATGATACCTATAGTAGATTCCAGAAACACTTTCAGAAGACGGTGCTCCGTGCCAGTCCCAGGAAACCATGAAGACATGCATCTAGCAGCTTGTGTCACACTATCAAATTCCCATCTTTTCATGAATTTTGTCTCTATGGCAAGTGATGTATCTGTCTGCACAAGAGATAAAAATAAGCAAGCAGCATATACTAAGGTCAAAATAACCAAAGGAAGTGAGTTTTACCTGAAGCTCGTTGAAATAATTTATACCACGCACATCATTCCAGTCAACTTCAAACACAATGAACCCGTACAATGTCCTATGCAATTTGCTATTCAAGATCAAAGAGCTTCTCAGTTTCTTTACAGGTAATAATTCCCTCTTCCGGGACAATGTTGCAGCATCAATAAAGGGAAACCATCTTCTAACATTTTCAGACTCGCTCGTGCTTAATTCAGGAACAGATTTCATATCCAACATATCTCCACCCTCCTTCCTCTGCTTCCGCCCTCTGGTATTCGCAAAGGGAGATAACCTGGACTGCTTCGAAACAAAAACTTCCTAGTTAAACATACAAAACCAAGAAAAAGAAAAATATGAAAACAATATTATGCACTACCAACCTTGGTAACCATCAGTTGCCATAAGTGTGCAGGTCTAGAAACAAGATCTCTAAGCCACGGACGGTTGTCCACCAAGATATAGCATCTCTTACTCTCAGGGGCAAGGAAAAGGTAAAGATGTGAAAGATAGGACTGCAAGTCCCTGTAAGAAATAAAAGCAGCATATAAATAACAAGACAATAAACCGTTGATTAATGGCCCCTAGCAACTTAAATAAATTTCGAAATATAATATGAATTCTTTAGTACTGTTTAACTGCTATATCAAAATCTTCTTAGACGCTAATTCTACTCCCCGTTAAAATTCCTAACTCAACCACTGTAATGACGCAAGCACAAATCTACCTATACTCAAATTTTCAATGTGAATCAATCAATAGAAGTAGCTTATCTCCTCTTTTGAAATTAAGAGACAGTTCAGAGAATTCAAAGTGGTTTTCGGTTTGAAACAAAATGGAAAGACCATTCAACTTTACATTTCCTCCAGAGTCCTCTTTCTGTTCGGATGGCCAATCTTTATTTTCATCATCAACATCAGGCATGAATTAATTTGATCTGCGAAGACCAGGGGCCGATGGACCATTTAAGTTAGGGGTCCAATCGAACCCAATAGCTTTGTCTCATACAATATATAAGTGTTAAGACGACGACGACAACAACAACAACAACAAACCCAGTATAATCCCACAAGTGGGATATATAAGTGTTAAGAAATCTACTAAACATGTACAAATATTAAATTTCAAACCAAGTAACCCAAGTGATCATATGATCAGTGGGTTCAGCGGCATTCCAAAGTCCAAACCCATAAAGTTTGGATTTTGGATCCGCCTCTAGCCACAACCCCTCGTAAAAGTCCACAAAAAGCTCATCTTTCTCAATAGTTTTACAGAACCGGAACTAAAAACCTAAATGGCAGAATTTAAAGCAAATTGGACCAGAAACTTATTTACCAAGAATTTTCATGCATTTGTACCAAATTCAATACCCTTTCAAATGCAACGAAGTTTCATTTTTTTTCCAGAATTATTGATATGGTTGCAGGAATTGAACAAAGGCAAGTACAAGAGGCAGAAAATTCCAAAACAAAAATATCAGCAAGTTGAAAGTAACCCAATTTTATATTTAATTTACAGTAAAAGAGAAATACAGAATTCTTTAGGAATCAAAATCAGATTAAAAATAAAGAAGAACGATGAAGAATTTGATACCCAATTTGCAAACTTGTCAAGGGAAAGACACATCTGCCATAATCAATGTTCCCAATGAGCTCCTCCATTTTGCTCCACCAACAATCACTGCTCCATCAAAATTTACCAACAATTTTTATTTTAAAAAAAATCACACATGCGCGTAAAATTGAATTTGAAAAGAAAGTAAAAATTCAAATTTACCAGAATGAAGAAAAACGGGATCAAGGTAATTCCATGAGAAATTAAACTCAGAAAACTCAGAACAAAATGAAGAACCAAGAGAAGAGAAATGAGGCAAGTCGAAATTGAATAATTCAATACGGGGCTTCTTCATAACACAAAGAGAAATATCGCAGAAGGAAGGAAGACACGTGTCAACGGCGCAGATTAAAAGCCGGCGAAATGAAGAAAAGACGATCAATGGACATAAACACCGAACACGACCTTCGAAAAAAATTACAGCAGTATATGACAAGGACTAAATGCAACCAACCCCTTTTATATACATGAAATGAAATCTATAGATACATATAATGTATATGTATAGATATAGAATAAAATTGTTAGAATTGGGAATGCATTAATGAGGAAAGGAGATTGAGTGAATTTAGGGGTCATTGGGAAACTGAGAAGATTGCTTTTGCAGAGAAAAGGGAAAATGGTGGCAAGCTCAGGAATTGGACACGTTTTTGAGAATAAGGGAAGACGTGAATTGGTGATTTAATTGGAGGTTATCTTTTTCAGTTATTAACTACGTCTCCTTTTTTTTTTTTTTTCCGAATTAAGTACGTCTGTTGGGGAAATGAAGAATTGGTGATTCGGGGTATAATGGTAAATTTAAGTTTTGGGAAAAGGGACAAATGCAGCATCGTCGTTGTCATTGCAGCTGATCCAGCAAAGCTAGGGGATTGATTCTAGACTCTCTACCTTCACTCTAGAAACCACTTTCATTATTTGGATCGGACTTGTTCCTCTTGTTATTCACTTATTCTTTTCTTCTCAAATAGTATTAGTATTTGATTTTTGGTATAAAATTTGTTTGACTAATATAGTTTTCATGTAATAAATATTGTTGAGTGTATGAACAAAATCCTACATAAATTTAAAAAAGAAAAATAAATTATTTATAACGAGTTGGATACTCTTACGTGCAGAGGTGGATCCAGGATTTGAGGCTTATGGGTTCCTACCATAATTTCAAATTAATATACAATAATAACTGGGTTCACGGTTAAATATTTATAAATATTTTATGAATTTCTTAATATAAATACAATCAACGCAAGAGTTACTGGGTTCTCGGGAACCCGTATTGAATGCTCTAGTTCCGCCCCTGCTTACGATACAATATCACACCATATTAAAAATATTTTTGGACCGTATTAAGCTAAAAACTAGTATCAAACCCTAGGTTCGGTGTATGAAAATAGAAATGTGGTGGTGCAGGGCCCGGTTTGCTTGCCCTTACAGAGAAATTGACCGGTAGATCAATGTAATCGGCCACGTGGTACTTAGTTTGAGAGAAAGATTTGAGTTTGCCAATAAAGTCCAACATTGATTGCTCAAAAGATTGGTTAATGATCTCTTAATGGCATAAGGTTTTTTGTAAGAAAAAAACTGTGCGAGTTCGGGCAGAAGCAGATAATATTACACCATGTGAAGAGTGTCTTTGCACTGATTTAGCCCAACAAATATACTATCAAACTTTTGCATTAAACTCTACATAAGTTATGCATTGTTTTATGGGTATCAAATGTTATATTAAGTACTCCCTTCGGTCCAAAATAAGTGATTTTTTGGCTTTTTTCGTGTGGTCCAAAATAAGTGATTTTTTTTCAGATTTCAAGAATGAATTAATTATTTTTTTCCTACATTGACTTTGGAGTAATTAATGTTGGAGTATGTGTTTTAGGAGTGTTTATGTGAAGAGATAATAAAGGTTAATATGGTCAATTTCATTGCTAATTAATGTTAAAAGATGAATTTCTTAATATGTGTGAAAACAACCAAACAATCATTTATTTTGAACAAGAGGGAGTACTAATTTTAGAATATGACTATATAAGAATTTATATATTATTTTCTACGTGATAGGACGTGAGATAAGAATGCTTGCATTAGTAATATTATGTAATAAGAGCATTTAAGGAGAAGGGTGCCCTTAAATCATAAAAGCCCATTAACCCCATTACAAAAATTAAATTGTAAACCAAACGGCACCTCACGTAATATAAATATAATTTTGGTCAATGAGAAATTATGCTAGAGTTGATCTTGACATTTGTTTGACTCAAAAGTTGTTACACTTTTTAAGCAAATCAATCAATATAGATGAAGGGGTAAATCGTAATCGAGGATAATAAACCCTAGGATGATCTTGATAATCGGCTCTTATAACAATAATATATATATATGAGAGAGAGAGATAATTTTAGAGAGATGAGAGAGCAAGAGAGTTCTTCCTTTCCAGAAATGAATTGAATCCCCTTTACAAAGCTCCGTCCCCCTTTATATAGTAGGGGGTCCTTCTTTAAATATTAAAAGACAGAAATAAAGTACATGCTATAGAGGGGCCGATGAGACTATGGAGTCGTCCCTCTTATTATCCCTAAGTCGTCCTTCTATCAGGACTCACATATGTTCAGCGGTCGGTCGTGCTGGCTTAGGGACGTGGTCGGTCAAATTCGACCCCATACAGTTAGTCCCTCCGCTCGTCGGGGTCGCAGCGAGATGCATCCTCGACGGGCGGAATCGGTACCTCCGTCCAGGGAGAGTTTGACTTTGTCAAAGAATTGTGACGTGACAGGTAGGAGACAGTAATCATGACTGTCAGAGCGTCAAAACGAAACGCCTTTCCCCGTGTGACGTTAGCGTTCGCATGCGTCATTATTGCACGTATTCTCGGGGCAGGAAATCAGAAGCTTGGCGCTTGGTTTCCCGCGCTGATTCAAAGTCTGCCTCTTCGATTCTGGCGCCACCTAACCCTATAAATAGGGGAAGGGTTTAACCTGATTCAAACTTTGGTCATTTGTAAAAGCATTCCAAACCTTCGGCGTATACTTTCGCATTCTGGTACATTTTCTTTCGATCGATAATATCTTTTTTCTTTGCTGCGCTGTGTGCAACTTTCTCCCAACCGAGATCATGCCTAAACCTCGCCGAAATGACGAAGGAATCCCGGCGGCTGCTCCATTGAACGTGCCGCCACCTTCCGATGGTGGAGAGGTGGAGGAAGAAGAGGACATCAGTCCTCTTACGGTGGAGGCACTACTGCCAAAACATACCCTGTCTCGAAGCGATTTCAGCAAGGACTCTCCCACTCCGACTCCAGCGCTTTATGAGTCGTTACAAAATCATTTGGATGATCTCCGCGTGAGGTACGGTATACCTACCCACATAGAGATGGTTCCGACAGGAAGGGATCATGTGGATGTTCATAGGCCGGGGTATTGTGCCTTTTATGAATACCCCTTTTTGATTGGTTATGGCCTTCCTCTTTTCTCTTTGGCGGAGGAGTTTTGCCGATTCTATAATGTGTGTCCGGCTCAACTTACGCCGTATACCCTGAAGGTGCTTCGGCTACTGACCAAGTACGTGGAGTTGGCCGGATGTGAAGTCACGATCCATCACCTCCTACAACTGTTCAGTGCCTGTTATCTAAGAGGGACCACGGTGCATTTGAGAGGCCGTGGTACGAAAGGATTGGTGGTCAAAGCCGACAAGCGAGCGAGCCGTAGATTCTGGCGCTAATATTTTTTATTAGGACCGAGCACGTGGTCTCTAATCCTGCCGGATTCCCAGAGAGGTGGAATTCGAAACGTAAGTATTGCAGTTTGTTAAATTCCTTGTTGCTTGTGACTGTTGCAATTCTAACCTTTGTATTGCAGCCATGGCTCATCCGCCCCGACCCGTTGCCAATCTCAGGAGATGGGTTGCGGCTTGCTTCCCCATGCGGAAGAGACCCGCACTTGGCCTGCCTTCATGCAGCGTTATGGCCCGAAAGTCCCTTCAAGTAGGTTTCTAATTTTTGCTTCGTAAATTCTGCAACCCTGCTCACTTCTTTTTATGGCGACAGGTCGAGGCGCTTCTAGGAAGAGGGCGCCAGTCCCTACTCTCAAGCGACCCGACGTTGCCTCGGATGCTCACGATTTATTAATCGAGTCTGTCCGAGAGGACCTCTCTCTAGCTCCTTTACAGGGGGCTACATCTACGACCATGGTTATGTGGGAGTTGGCATCGTTGGCATCGGCTCTGCAACCCGTGGATGAGTCCTCCAATGGCGAGGAATCGTTAGAAAGAAAACGGAGGAGGCTTGAGAAGGGCAAGGGGGTGGCTACCGAAGCCGGAGGAAGTGAGGTGCCGGCCAACACACATACCTTCATTCATGGCTGACGCCATTCTATCTGGGAGGTCGGCTCAGCAGAGGAGTGCCGCTCCCGGTGCTAGTTTTGCGTGTGCCGTTGAGGGGAGGTTATCGACCAACGTCGAAGGACCTAGTAGGGAAGCTGAGAAGTCGGACTCTAACATTGCTCAAGAGGATGTTGACGAGTTTGTGGGTGGCCTTACCCACCTAGAGATGACGAAGGATGGGTCCGACCGTCGTATTATGATTCCGGGGGCTTACAACTTGTTGCTGAACAGCGAGCAGGCTGCTTCGGCCCTTACCCTGCTATGTGCCGCCCTTGAGAGCAAGACGCTCAGTACTGTGGGTGATGCGGAGCTATCACGAAGGGTTTCCGGCATGGCCTTACAGGTAATCCTTATTCCCTTTCTCTCTTCTGCATATTGTAAGACTGACTTGAGGTGTGCTTATTTCTGCTTTTCTTTTTAGACCCTCGTTTTAGAGGTGGAGAGGGGACGTCGTGAGCAAAAAAGGATGGCCCTCTATAAAAAGATGCAAAAAAAGTATCGAAAGTATCGCTCTAAGCACCGAGTGGTGGTTGAAGGCAATCCCAGTTGGAACGCAGGGGAGTTGAGTTGGAAGAGGCGGATAGCGAGCTGATGAAGGTCGTGGCCCGTAACAGCGAATTGCAGGAGCTCCTTAGGGCGAACGATGACGAGCTCAAACTGAGTCGTGGGGTGGCGGTGGAGAACGTCGACCTACAGGGGAGGGTGGCGGATCTGACCGCCGAGCTCGACGCCAGGATGGCGGAGATCAATGGACTTTTTCGGCCTTCCTCATCCGTCCCTCGCCTGGTAAGAGTACGCGTCGTAGTGCGCATGAGATGTGGATTTTTGCGTAGGCCAAGCTCGACGTATATAGGGAGCTTCATGCTGCGGGCCGGGCGACGGAGGAGGAAGTTTAGGCACGGCGAAACGAGGCTCGCACTGCTCGTGAAGTTTGTGGATATTACTCCGATTCTCCCGATGGTGAGGGTCCCGCTTCCGAAGACGTCAATCGCCTCGACTCGGGTTCATGGTACAATGACGTTTATCTCCCGGGGGGTGACGAGTAGTTGTGAATTTGTATAATGTACATTTTTTGGCTCGTGGAATGTATTGGAGCCCGTCCGTGGGGGCGAGTGTAAATATATTTTTGCTGTAATATAAATTTTACTTTTGTTGCCTCGTCCATTTGCTATTTTCCCCTTCTTGGGTTTTCTTTTATAATTCATAGCCTCCGTAGAGGTTGTTTTTGTTGTTTGTTAAAATGGTCGTGTCGTGGTTTGAGCGAGGTCGAACTGACGTCGATGGCCTTGGCCATTAGGATGTTGCTTCGACTGTCGTCGAAGTAGTATCTAT